CTGCGTGCGCAGGAGGAAAAGGAAGAGGCGACTCGAAAAGCCGCAGTGCATCCGCCCTCGGCGTTGATCGTGCATCCCAGGTGGCCAGAGCAACCATGCATTAAACAACCAACGTAGACAGTGGGCGCACACAAAGAAGACTTGAGGCGGCTTTACCAAACATAATATAGAGGAGGACAATTGGGGCGGGGAAGAGGGGAGCTCAAGGCAACAATGCCAAAATTGGAAGATGAGCTGGGCTCAGCCTGAAGATGTTCAAGATCATGCAGGATCGCCCGATGAGCACGCATCGTGTGCATGCAGCTCGCAGACGCTGCGGGGCCAGGGGCGCCGCCGAAACTGAGGCCGCGTGCGGATGAGCAGCCACGGGCAATTCAAGGAGAAGGAGGGGGCGAAGGAGGGAGGGGGGCGGAGGCCGGAGGAAAGAGGGGGAGGATGGCGACTGCGCACTCACTTCGAGCGTTCGGGGGCCTCCACCGCCGCGCAGAGCCAGGATCATCTGCGGCGTGGAAAGAACAGGAAAACGGCAACACGATACGGGGCGAGGCGAGGAGGGAGGCGGAGGGTGAAGGACGGAGGGGAAGGAGGGCAACTGCACGCTCAAATCGAGCCTTCGGGGCCCTCCACAGCCGCGCGAAACCGGGATCAGACCTGCAGCACGCATCCTCAAGACGGCAACACGATACGGGGGGGGGGATGAAGCGAGGAGGTATGGGGGAGGACGAAGGAAGGAGAGGGAAGAGGGCGGCTGCGCGCTCAAATCGAGCGCCTGGAGGCCTCCACAGCCGCGCAGAGCCGGGATCACACCTGCGGCGCGGATCAGGAATACGGGAACACGATACAGGGGGGGGAGAGGAGGGCGGCGGAGGACGGAGGAAGGAGGGGGAGGAGGGCGACTGTACGCTCAAGGAGGGGAAGGAGGGCGACTGCGCGCGCACGACGGCATTGTCGTCGGTCCGGGAAGACACAAGTCATATTATAAATAACATTTTTGGTATGAGTAGTAATCTTAATCTTAGTTTTAAAGGTACATCTTTAGTAGTAATATTCACATTCATACTAAGACTGACACTACACTTATTATTCACATAAATTTTAGTACTAATTCGAATACTAATACTACTACGACGGCGGCGACTAGTAGTAGTAGTAGTAGTAGTAGTAGTAGTAGTAGTACTGCTACTACGACCACTACTATTACTACGACGACGACTACTACTAATACTGCTACTGCTACTGCTGCTGCGGCGGTTGCTACTACTACTACTACTACTACTACTACTACTACTACTACCAGCACTACTACTACTACTACTACTACTACTACTACTACTACTACTACTACGACTACTACTACGACTACTACTGCTACTAGTCTTATTACTACACATAGTATTAGGACTACCCATACTAATACGAAAACCAAGGTTGACATTAATTCTAATGCGATTTTCTAGTAATGCTTGTATCAATCTTAAGATTGATACGGGTACGAATGTTAATCTTGCTTTAACTACTACTACTGTAGTCGTCGTAGTCGTAGTCGTAGTCGTAGTCGTAGTAGTAGTAGTAGTAGTAGTAGTAGTAGTAGTAGTAGTAGTAGTAGTAGTAGTAGTAGTAAGTCGTAGTAGTAGTAGTAGTAGTAGTAGTAGTAGTAGTAGTAGTAGTAGTAGTAGTAGTAGTAGTAGTAGTAGTAGTAGTAGTAGTAGTAGTAGTAGTAGTAGTAGTAGTAGTAGTAGTAGTAGTAGTAGTAGTAGTAGTAGTAGTAGTAGTAGTAGTAGTAGTAGTAGTAGTAGTAGTAGTAGTAGTAGTAGTAGTAGTAGTAGTAGTAGTAGTAGTAGTAGTAGTAGTAGTAGTAGTAGTAGTAGTAGTAGTAGTAGTAGTAGTAGTAGTAGTAGTAGTAGTAGTAGTAGTAGTAGTAGTAGTAGTAGTAGTAGTAGTAGTAGTAGTAGTAGTAGTAGTAGTAGTAGTAGTAGTAGTAGTAGTAGTAGTAGTAGTAGTAGTAGTAGTAGTAGTAGTAGTAGTAGTAGTAGTAGTAGTAGTAGTAGTAGTAGTAGTAGTAGTAGTAGTAGTAGTAGTAGTAGTAGTAGTAGTAGTAGTAGTAGTAGTAGTAGTAGTTAGTAGTAGTAGTAGTAGTAGTAGTAGTAGTAGTAGTAGTAGTAGTAGTAGTAGTAGTAGTAGTAGTAGTAGTAGTAGTAGTAGTAGTACTACTCCTACTGCTAGAAGTGGTAGTCATAGGAATCATGATATCAGTCGTACACGTGATAATATTGTTTCGAATCGTACTGGCAGTAACAGTAGTAGAAATGAAAGGACTAAACTGGCAACGTTTCGTTTTTTTCGGCCCCAGAACATGGCCAACAGCGGCAGCTTTTGGGGACCTGGCACGCCTTGCCCACGCTACGCCCGGGGCCTGCCGTGCCGGCGTCTTTTGTCGCCCGTTCGATACCCCCCGCCGCCCAGCCCGAAACCATTCTGGAGAGGCTAAGTCCGCACGGACCACGTCCATACGGAGTATTCGGTTTCTGTCAAGGCTTACTCCGTCTGTACCCGTCTGATATTACGCTAAGTCCATGCGGAGTAAGTAAGGCCACACGGAGCGCTCGGTCTCCGTCTGGGCGTCCTCGGTCTGGCAGCAGCCTTTCCCGAGAGATCATCATCTCCCCCATCGCTGGACGCCCCGCGTCCCCTTCCCATGCAAACAGGCGGGTTTAAGCCCGATCGTCACCTCGTCCGTGCCCGTCCTAGGGTCGTGGGCAACCACGATGTTCGGCACGGGCGGGCGGGGGGGAGACTCTTGCACCTCCTCGCCGTTTTGCCCCGCCAGTCCTTCGCACGGCCAGGGTCCCCCGCCCCGGCGTGCGTGGGAGTGAAATTGTCGCGCGTCGGAGTTGTGCCCCACGCAGGCTTACTGGGGCTTCACAGCCACACGGCGTGCCGTTATCTGAGTGTGCTTGCGCCCGCCAGCTCGAAAATGTCTGAGCGCGCCGCGCGCCAAGGTGGGTGCTGCTCGGTTTTACAGGTGCGGCTCCTTGCATGCTGGGGAGGGTCCCGGCATGCTGCGAGTGACGTGATGCGCAGTCGTGGGGCGCCAGCAGCACGTGTTTGCGAGGCTGAGCTGTTTGCTGATTTAGATCATCTTACCCGAGGGTTTGTGGCATTGGGCGTCCCGTTTGCTAGCGCTCGGGCTCTTCGCTCCTCGCTGGGCTTGCCGCCCGTGCCTCTGTCCGTCTGGCCCCCCCTCCCCCAGCTTTAAATCGGGCTTGTCCCCCTACAGGGGGATTCTCGACGAGAAATAAGAAATACCCCCAAAGTGCTCCAAAAAGGCAAAAAATACTCAAAAAATAGTCCCCGGATTATTTGTGAACTATGTTGTTATTATTTTGACGTTTTTTTTTTTTTTTTCGTCGAAAATCCCCCTGCAGGGGGACAGGCCCGACTTAACCCAAGCTGTCACCCAGTCGCCTGGGCCCCCAGGTGGGGCCGTGCGGCGCGGGCGCTTCCCGCGCGCCTGCCCGGGGCCGTGGGACATACCTTTTTCCCTGCGCGGTCTCCTGACTGCTCTGCTCGGGCCGACACTGCGCGCCCCCTCTGGGTGCAGCCCACGCAGGGGCCCCGCCTGAGGGGTGCCAGCGCCGGGGGCCGGTGCGTCGGCGCTTCGGCGGCCACGCCTCGGGGCCGCGCGTCGCCCCCGCGCCTGCGCCGCCCTCGGCGGGTCCCCTCGTCGAGCTGCCCGCGCCCTGGGCGGCCGCCTGCTGCACTGCTGGTGTCCCCCCCCCTTTCCTGGGGGTTCCTCGTCCCGCTCCCTTGCGGGTCCGCCGGTCCTCAGGAGGGGAAAAAACATGCAGACACAGTTAATTGTCGATCCCCAAGAAAACATGGGAAAATATGGGAATTGGGCGGGAAGACGAAAACACAGAACATGTGGGAAACTATGGGGGAATCCTTTTACTTGTGTGTATCTATCTGTGTGTCCTTGGGCCCCTTGAGATCCTGCCTCGCGATCGTCCCCCGCCTCGCCTCGCGGCGCCTCCCGCCTCTTTCCTGCCGTCGCTGTCGCTGTCCCCGCCCCCCTTTCCTTGCTGCCCGCAGGGCGTCCGAGGCGGTCCGCCGCCTCGCCCCGTGTGCGCACCGCCGCTGCGGGCCGCCCCCTGCGCCTCCTTGCCCGCCTCGCTCCGCCGCGCTGCTCAGCTCGCGAACCCTACCCCTCGATTTCTGGGGTTGCGATGGCCCCCTCGGGAGTGAAGCTGTGTAGCTCCCATGGGCGGATGCAGTACCTTTGGGCCGCGCGACCTGGGCTTGCCCGCCCACGTTTCGCTTTCGCTCGAGCTGTACCCCGCCGCGCCGTTGCGCGCGGGGCCGCGACTTTTTTTTTGTTTTGTTTTCTCTCTCTCTCTCTATCTCTCTCTCTCTCTTAGTTTTTTTTTCTTTCTCTCTCTCTCTCGTGTTTTTTTTTTTTTTTTTTTTTTTTTTTTTTTTTTTTTTTTTTTTTTTTTTTTTTTTTTTTTTTTTTTTTTTTTTTTGTTTGTTTGTTTGTTGTTTTTTGTCTTACTTCTTTTTTGCCTTAACATATAAAATAAACATGTTTTTTTGTTTTTTTTCCCCCCCCCTCTCTCTCTCTCTCTTCAAGTCTCGTTGCGTCCCGCCGAAACTGCTGCTCGTGCTGCCGCCCTTGCCTGACCCCCGTCTTCGCTGCGCTGTAGGGAAGGGGCGTGGATGCGCCGCAGTCGCGCCATCAGCAGGGATCGCGAGGTTTGGCCCGAAACGAAATGGAACGAACGAAACGAAACGCATGTCGTGGCCCAGCACCCAGCATCACGACGAACATCTGGAAACACGGGACGAAGCATCGGTGAGACGCAGGCCGAAAACACCGAAACGAAACCTCGATATGGACGAGTGTTACCGAGGCGACACATCGGTACGACGAGGACGGAACGGATCGAGACGGCGCAGACACAACCGCCGAACGCCAGGGCGGGCGCGGCGGCCGCGCGCAGGAGCGGCTCGGAGACTCGGCGAAGGCGGTGAAGATGCTCCAGGAGGGGATCCGTGTGGGAGCGCAGCCTGCGGAGGCCGCCCCAGGCGTTTGTTCTGTATGTTTTGTGAGGAGGAGGAGGAGGAGGAGGAGGAGAGGAGGAGGAGGAGGAGGAGGAGGAGGAGGAGGAGGAGGAGGAGGGAGGAGGAGGAGGAGGAGGACGAGGAGGAGGAGGAGGAGGAGGAGGAGGAGGAGGAGGAGGAGGACGAGGATCAGGAGGAGGAGGAGGACGAGGAGGAGGAGGAGGAGGAGAAGGAGGAGGAGGAGGAGGAGGACGAGGAGCCCAGGTTGAGGCCCCACTGTTTGAGGCCCCTTGTCCTCGGCGGCCCCATCCTTCAGGGCCCCATCCTTCGAACCGCCCATTGTCTCCTCGGGCCCCCCTCCGACGGCAGGCCCTGAGATTCGACGCTGCCAACAACAAGGTACACAACATCGCGCACAATCACGAACACTCATGCGAACAATAACGACGCATCAAGGAGCAGCATCGCCGACTTGGCAGCATCGCGAGGCAAAAGTGCAGCACCGCGAACAGGCACGACCCGAGCCCTGGACAACACGGTTCTGCGGCCTTGTCCGGCCGGATCGACTTGTCCTGGCCTTGCGCCGCCCCAGACAAGTAGTGCAACCTCAGCCGTCGATTTGCTCGTTTCCGTCGCCCTCGGGTTTTTGTTGCCTTCCTCCAGCTTGGCATCGCTCGGACGTGTGCATTTTTCCTTCGGCGAGGACCATCGAGGAGCAGCCTTGATCTTTTGGCGAGAAAGCCACGCACGAAACCGAAAAAAGCACAGGGAATGGACGTCCGAGCGATGGCCAGCCAGGGGCCATCAGAAACGGACCCGGCCGGGAGGAGACCGCGCATCCCCGGGGACGCCCCCCAAGCGGCTTTTCAGCACGACCCGCCAACGCTGCCTCGTTTTGCTGGAGGCGCGGGGGCCGACGCGCGGTGCGCCACCGCCCGGCGTGAGCAGCTGGCAGCGCCCGGATCTCGGGGTGTCTCTCGGGCGAAGAGAGCTATGCACATGCACCGATCCTGGCAGGGCCCATCCCTGACCCAGGATCGGTGCATCTGCTCTCCTGGCCACGGCAGGAGGGCGTATGCACCGATCCTGGCAAGGCCCATCCTTGACCCAGTCTCGGTGCATCTGCTTTCCTTGCCACGGCAGGAGGGCGTATGCACCGATCCTGGGCTCAGGATGGGCCTGGCCAGAATCGGTGCATGTGCATAGCTCTCTTTCCTCTAGTCGTCCCAGTCGTGCGATGTCTTGATTTTTTTTTCAGCACGGGGCCTCCGGAAGTCCCGACCCGTTCCCCGGGGACGGTTTTTCAGCCCGGGTCTTTTTTCGACGGCCTTGGGCCTGGCGAGGGCCCCTGGAGGCCGAACACGGGCAAAAACTCTCTTTTTATTTTATTGTTTGTTTTTTTGTTGCTCCGCTCAAATTTTTACATATACATATACATGATATATATATATATATATAAAATCTTTGAGACATAACTATATGTATATATGATACATTTGATGTTATTTGTTTTCACTTATATATAATACTTAACAAACATCTACGCGGTAACGTCAGTTGCAATCTAGTGGCAAATCATGGGAGCCTCGTATGTCCTCGAGATTTCGTCTTTAGAGTGCGTCTGGTAATCGATGATCAGCGTCGATTCGCGTCGATTTGGCGTCGATGAGTACCAGTTCGCAAGATCCATCCAGACGGCATGGGAGGCTCCCATGACTTGCCACCGAAGTGGGGGCATCGAGGATTCCAGGAAAGTGGCTCTGGGGGGACCCTAAGCGGTGTCCAAATCGGCGGACGGCAGCGGGGGGGCCAGAAACGCGGGGGGATCGAGCATTCCAAGAAAGTGGCCCTTCAGGGGCCATAAGCGGCCCCCAGAACGGCGGACATCAGCGAGGGGGGGGGGGGCAAGAGACGTGTTTTTCGGGTCATATCTCGGGTCTCCGGCGGCCGTCATGGACGATGCGAGCATCCTCGGACGCTTCTCGGCGAGGCGCAGCTGCTGGAAGACAACCCGAGGCGAGACAACCGCCGAGAGCCGACCAGAACGCCTAGAAACCTGGAGTCTCGAGCCTGGAACGTCGACGCGGGCATGTCTGGGTATGTGCCTTCATGTCAGCTTTGTCAGGAGGGGCTAAGTCCACACGGAGTACGTCCATACGGAGTGCTCGGCCTCTTTCTGGGCTGACTCCGTCTGGACTTAGCCTATCCTAAGACGACGATGATGATGATGATGATGATGATGATGATGATGATGATGATGATGATGATGATGATGATGATGATGATGATGATGATGCTGATGATGATGA